GCGTTGTTAACAGGACATTGTGGATATATATATATATTGTGAAGTCACAATGTCACTTATTTAAATAATTCCCGCTCATGGAATACACCAAAAAAGGGGCAAGGCCTGGTTGAGCTGCAAAAGAGAAGATAAAGAAGAATATGGAAGGCAGACAGGGCCAGATGTCTTTAAATAGAACCCGTGAAGTTTGACCATGTCAACGTGCACTGTTTGTCTGCGTTAACGCAGCAACATGCATGACAGCCAATGAAACTGCTGTATTTGAGAGTATATTTGCATATATGACACAATAGTACGCTGTATATACGTATAAAAACATGAGACGTCATATTTATTCATGAAGGATGTCGTAATGGTACACCTTATGCACGAATGCAAACATCAGACGTTATATTTGTTCATACGGCTAATATATCAGTACGTTGTGTGATGTCAGTCTTATGTCATGATTTGTCATGTCCTTTTTAGTTGTTTAGTTCAACATTCTTTCTCAAGTAGAAAAGTCTTCATTTACATTGTAACATTAATTTATTTACCCTGTCCCACTTTATATTAGGTGGCCTTAACTACTATGTACTTGTACTTATTGTGTTCATATTGTATTGCAAAACACATTTGCTGCTATTGAGGTGGGATATGGTTAGGTTAGGGACAGGTTTGGTGGTATGGATAGGTTTAAGGGTGGGTTAAGGTGTAATTATAAATGTAATTACAGAAATTAATTACAGATGTACAGTAATTACATGCAGATATTTTTTTTTATATAAATACAATGTAAACACATGCATGTACACAAAAAGTGCATTGTATCAAATGATTAATTTAAATGTAAGTGCATAGTAGTTAAGGCCACCTAATATAAAGTGGGACCATTTACTCTAGCACAGTAGATATCAGTAAAGCAATGCCGCAATAACTAGAGAAAGGATTAATGCGTGGGTAAATCTAGAGGAAAATCTGCTTTAAAAAGTATTACACATTTGAACACAGCCAGAATGTGTGTGTGTTGAGTTCATCGTCTTAACACGGTTAAACTGGACCCCTTTAACAAAAATAACGTTTTAATAAATGAACTATGATTTATAAGCCTGAAATGCCCCCACAATGTAAAAAATATTAAGTTTTACTGTCTTTGTGGGAACATTTGGTCCTCACAATGAAACAAGTACACACACGCATAGATGTACACAATCTCTGTGTTCCAAATGACCTAAATAATGCCCCTTAGTCAGGGGTGTGGGATATTGACAAAAATTATATCTCAATATTTTTGAGGTATTTTTGTTGATAATGATAATTCAATATTTTGCTGAATGTGTTTTTGTGCTGGTACCTTGGCTGGTTTAGGCTCGTCAAAGATAAATCAGTAAAACCACCTGTAGGTGGCAACAAATTCCTGTTTTAATAAATTACTCATTAAATCATTCAAATGATTTGTTAACAATAAATGATTCAATTAGAAATGAAGCAAATGGTGTCTTTATGAATGGATCATTGAATAATTGGCTCACTTGATTAATTCAAAAACTGATTAATTCAGAAATCAAACACCACAGTGTTACTCTGAGATGCACAGCAGCTCTGCTGTGGATTTGTTTGCAACTATTTCATTTGCAAAACTGAAAAATAACAGACAATATTGTGTCTAAAATGTAACCCACACAATTAACTTCTTGAATGTTGAACTGTTGAATAAAATTAATATCACACATTAATATGACACTCATGCTGATATTAACTATATCATATTTTATGAATATAAAAATTTAATCTCATTCAGGGATATTTTTGGTCTCGTAACTTCCATCCCCCTCAGTTTGGGCCCTGGCTCTAAATGAAGCCAAAATGAGTAGATTTGGAAGAAAACAAAAAATATGAAATATGAAAATGAATATAACTGAAATATATTAATATTTAATCTAGCCCTCTTTGGGTTCTTTGAGTTGTTGACAAGTGCATATTTGCTCCAATCTCACCCTCTGGAGCTCTGGAGTTTTGGAGAACAACCTATTCTCAGAAATGTTTGATTAAGTGGACCATGTCACCAGCATGTCCTGTTATAATGGTCGCTAGTCCTGAGGTATCTGCACCAGAGCCAGTTTAAAGCATGGCCAATTATGATTATATATTCAGTGGCATAAAATGGTCTTTAAAATTAAATTATATCGTTTATCGCAATTATTTCTGGGGCAATATATCGCACAACAAAAAGTTGTTATCGCGACAGGCCTACTCCAGATTGGACTATTGTAATGCTTGTGGGCCTTCCCGCATGTACTATCAAGCCTCTGCAACTGATCCAGAATGCAGCAGCAATAGTGGTCTTCAACGAGCCGAAAAAAGCTCACGTTACACCTCTCTTCATCAGTTTACACTGGCTACCAGTAGCTGCTCGCATCAAATACAAGGTAAAGATGTTTGCCTACAAGACAACAACTGGCGCTGCACCAATATACCTAAACTCGCTAGTTCAAATTTATGCGCCCTCCAGAAGCTTGCGTTCTGCAAGTGAACAACGCCTTTTGGTGCCATCCCAAAGAGGCACAAAATCACTATCACAGACCTTTTCCTGGACTGTGCCCAGCTGCTGGAATCCCTATCTCAATTCGAACAGCTGAGTCTTTAGCCATTTTCAAAAAAACTTCTAAAGACGCATCTTTTTCACCAGCACCTGACCAACTAATACTAGCACTTACCTATTCTATTCTATTCTATTCTATTCTATTCCATTCTTTAAAAAAAAACACCCTATTTATGTGTACTGTAATAGACTGAGACTTGTCACAGCACTTGTATACTGTTGCTCTCTCGTTCGTCTGATTGCTTCTATTGTTCTCCTCATTTGTAAGTAGTTTTGGATAAAAGTGTCTGCTAAATGATTGAATGTAAATGTAAATGTAAGAGCAGAGCCCTGAGAAAAGAGAGCCATAGAATTGTAAGAGCCATGGGTTGTAACAGGTATACAAAGGTATTTGTTACTTTTAAACCCTACAAGAGAAACAATCTACAACAATTGTAAATATTTTAAAGCTGATTTCTTTTATTTATGACAACTTGTTTACAAGGAAAAATTCTTTCCAGAAGTTAGAACTTCAATACCTTTTGTCCAAAAAGTGTGTCATTTTCAATATGATTGAAACAAAAACCCAAGAGTAATCATTCAAATTTGTTCCGAGATAAAGTCATCCTTCGCTTTCTGAAAACAAGAGCTAAAATATGAAGAAGTGCACTGAGAAAAAAATCATACATCTTAAAAGTAAAATCAACAAGTATTATTATAGGCAGTTTGTGAAAGATTTGGTGAAGTGTGCCATGTTTTGTATGTTTTGCACTCAGCTTTCTGTACACAAACAAACCATTGGTAGGTTGATTTCTCTGAGAAATTGTGGTTACACATTTTTATCAGAACTAACATTTATGTTAAACTTTAACATTTAAATCTAAATATAATCACAAACATAAGTTTTTGCCATAGTCCCACATTAAAATAAGTACTACACACTTTTTATTATATGCGAGTATCAGGACCAACACAAGTGCCTTTAGTGTGGTACTTTATATACTCACTTCATATTTGCAGTGTATACGCATGAAAATCACAAGACAACTTCAGGCTAAAACATTTCATTACAACTGGACATCATTGAAGCCCATCACCTTAATTCAAACAATACCAATATATACAGTTGTGGTCATAAGTTTACATACACCTTGCAGAATCTGCAAAATGTTCACAATTTTAACAAAATAAGAGGGATCATAAACATTTGTTACTGTCCTGAAAACATGTTACTGTCCTGAATATGGTATTTCACATAACAGATGTTTACATATACACCAGAAGACAAAATAATAACTGAATTTATCAAAATGAGCCCGTTCAAAAGTTTGCATACGCTTGATTCTCAATACTGTTACCTGGATGATCCATGACTGTTTTTTCATGAGTCCTTTGTTAGTCCTGAGCAGTTAAACTGACCGCTGCTCTTCAGAAACATCATCCCGCAAGTCCCGCAAATTCTTTGGTTATTTTTTCTTCTGCAAAACATGTAAGTATCTTCTGCAGCTTCTGATGGGCCATACTAAACAGAAAAATATGATCTTTGAACAAAATAAGAAAACTTTACACGTCATCATCCCTTTATTTTGTTAAAATGATTAACATTTTGCAGATTCTGCAAGGTGTATGTAAACATGTGACCACAACTGTATATGGTGCCAGCCAAAAGTATTTTGACCCACTGAAAATGTTTTGGTAACACTTTACAATGTTCCATTTGTGAGCATTAGCTAACCACATTAGTGGCCGTGATAAAGTGTGTTCTTCATGTATGCAGGTGTATAGTATGAATACACCAAAGAAAAAAATGATTTGTAATTTCAGCTGTGTAAACATGGATCTCCAGAACAGAGGGGTTGCATTTTTTGGAAGATTGTATGTTTTAGTTTTTTATTTATTTTGTTAAAACCAATCCTGCTTTCAAATAATTAATTTTGAGATTTAAGATTTGCTTCACACCGAACAAGAGTTCAATAGTTTGTTTTTCAGTAAACTGGTCAAGGGTCTGAATACTTCTGAAAGTCACTATATATATAAAATAAGTGTATTACAATATCATAATCAATCAATGGCTTATTTGTAAACATTTGGCTTAGATGTGCATTTGGGAACATCAATAAAATCTTCATTCAATGCCTTTGGCCTTCAACTCATCCTTTACTCTCTTCAGGTAGCCAGGGTCTGGATAGCCATACCTGTGGACAGAAAAATAATAGATTCATAATAATAATTCAGACAGTGGAAGATTGTCTGGGCATGCAGGGTATGCAGGTGAATATGGGCCCGGGCAGTTTGGGGGCCCGTCGAGCTGGAGGGAACTTTTAATTGAAACGAGGGAACGAATAGAGCCCTGCATGGGCCTGGCCCTTGTCCAACAGCTTATGAGAACTCTCGGCCCGAGTCCGACTGGATACCGTGTCTTTTAAAATAAGTGTATTACAATATCATAATCAATCAATGGCTTATTTGTAAACATTTGGCTTAGATGTGCATTTGGGAACATCAATAAAATCTTCATTCAATGCCTTTGGCCTTCAACTCATCCTTTACTCTCTTCAGGTAGCCAGGGTCTGGATAGCCATACCTGTGGACAGAAAAATAATAGATTCATAATAATAATTCAGACAGTGGAAGATTGTCTGGGCATGCAGGGTATGCAGGTGAATATGGGCCCGGGCAGTTTGGGGGCCCGTCGAGCTGGACCAAAATTGTGTTTGCATTCAGTAGCCTATACTGCAGCATTTTTGTGCCACGTTTAAAACTAAAATAACTAAATAAATAAGATTAATGGTATAATATTTTAAGAATAAAGTCAAAATTAATATCCAATCGTTTGTGTGGAGAGTGGAAGCTAAACCGCGCTTTGCAGAACATGGAGGCACCAGCGCGATCACTTGCATTTTTTTTTTTTTTGATAACAGTGGAAACTTTAAAATACGCCATCATTTTTGCTCATAAAGGTAAGATTATACATCATTCGGAACTGCAAATGGTCTACTTGTATCTGTGTGCACTCACAATATCAACAAAACCTTGTGCTTTCTTTCACTGTGTTTTTGTTTATTTGTTTTTGGGCCGCTGTGCCAAAATTGTGTTTGCATTCAGTAGCCTATACTGCAGCATTTTTGTGCCACGTTTAAAAATAACTAAATAAATAAGATTAACGTCATACTATTTTAATAAAGCCAAATTACGATAATAAAATCATGTTATATTGAGTGAAGTTAATGTGAAAATTCCACATATAGGCCTACTCCTCCTCCTCCAAAAAAAAAAAAAACCT